TACTAGTACTAGTACTAGTACTAGTACTAGTACTACTACCATTCCTATTACTAGTACCATTATTACTAGAAAATACTTCTACTTTTTTCTAAGCCAAGTCGCATCTTCTTTGCTCCAACGGCCTGGCTGTCACAATAAGCCCGAGCTGCTTTGGCGAGGGTTTAGGGTTTAGGGTTTACTGGTTTAAAGGTTTAGGGTTTAAGAGTTTAGGGTTTAAGGGTTTAGGGTGTTTGCTCCCAGAATGCCAAATCAAATGGACAGGAAAGTGCAAACTGAGTTTTCTATAGGGGTACATAGGAGCTATCCTGACTTAGCAGGAGTACTGCTTTTTACATGTGCATACGAGGTCAGCTTGTGCCAAAGCACAATCCGCATCATCATGATGGAGATCTGCGGCTGCTGCTGCCTGAAGACATATGAGTTGGTACACTCACAACTACAGCTTTCAAACGTCAGTCTTAGAGTCCGCCTTGCCACTGCCAGGACAGTTGGGCGGGAAACTGGCATTTGATTTGAAAACGGCCACCATCCAAAGCAATGGCCAAGATGCGCATCAAACGATAAAGCTTGCATGCTGCGGTGGCTGTCAAGATGTTTTCGAGTGGTTTTGGGCAGGTCGCCCGTGCCTTGCCTCAAATACCATCGCACTCAGCTGCCAAACCTTGCAGCTTGCCCGCACAGAAGATTGTTTGCTCAGGATTGTTATTATATACATGTCCATTGTTGAAAAGGCCCGACTATCTTACACTGCTTGGCTAGTAGATGTTCTGCGTTTTCTATCAAGGACATAACGGCGGAGACGACAAGAATGGAGTGCTGAATGGAACAAGCTGCAGCTTCTTGGAAGCTACATGGAGTCAGGAGAATCATTCAGGCCTTTGGCCTCTGAAAGAGGATTCTAGAAACCAATTTGCTGTCTCAGAAAACTTCCTCCACATAGTCTCTTGGAGAAACTTGCTCGGCATCCTCCCATGTCCAGCTTCTTGTGCTGGCCACGTGTGAGAAGCCACGGAAAGGAGACTGCTTTTCCATACTGCCTAGACGGTCGCAGATCTGCACAACTTGCTGATCAACCAGCCACTCTGGGCCAGCAGGTGTTAGTGGCAAGGCCAGGTTTGAGCAAAGGCCCTGATATGCTGCTGTCACATCATGCGGATCTCCAGGCAGCCTCACTGCCCCCGTGCGGAGCTTTTGATAAAAATCCGGTGAAGGAAAATCAAAAGTCCCATCATTGGCAAGCACTTTGGTTAAAGATCCTGGTGTGGCCAGGACAATCTGGCAAAACTCTGGATCCATGAGGCTACCCCTTCCAAGGACAAAAATGATACATGCAACATTCTTGGCCTCCGTGAGATCCTGCACCTGACGAATGTGGCAGGCCTCAGCCTGCATCTTCAACTGCACCAGCTGTTGAAGCACGAGGCACGCCGAGATCGTCTCCGGGTGCTTGCTGGACACTATCAGGATTCGAGCTGTTCTCACGCTGCTCTGGAATTTCTGGACAGGTCCTGGCACGAAGTTCTCAAACAAAATCCCAAGCATCTGAGCGACCACAGCCTCCTGCTCCTGAACACTTCCCACCCGCCTGAGCTCAAGAGCCTTAAGCCTGTGCAGGTAGGCAAAGGCTGCGCGGACTTCTTGCATGCTGATCCCATGGCCCAAAAGCACCGATCGTTGGTTCTCAGGCCAGCTAGACTCGATCATGCTCATATAATCGTAATCAGGTAGGCTGTAGCCATCGCAGCACAGGGCATGGATCGGAATGCCACTCATGAAGGCGGTCGTGACCTCTCCGACACACCAGGTGCTTTGAAGCAGTTCAGGCGTGAGGACCACGACCATGTTGTCGGTCAACATTCTCACAATGTCGTAAAGGTCTGAAAGGTCCCGCAAATTATCTGCATCATAGAATATCTTGATGGCCACATGTTTTAGACATGATATCTTCAAGAATCTGCAGAGCACGCCAGCAGTTGCCTTGTGATGACAGAGAAACAACTTGAATCGAGAGTGCACCTGCAGCCTGTTCCAAGCCAAGAAGGCTAGCCCAATAGCCAATCCGACAGGGATTGCACATACCAGGATGGCCATGATGTAGGACAAGACCACGACACCCTCTGCTGATTCGAGGTTCAGCATAGGAGCAGCTAAGTTCAGAAAAAGAATGGCACAGCCAAGCAAGAATAACTCACTCCAGTTTGCCGCGTCGGGTCTCCAGGGCCAAAGCAAACATTGCATCACAATGCGCATGCAGAACAGCACAGACATGAAGCCAACTTGAATTCCAGGGTATGAGACTAGCAAAGCCGGAGTACATCCGATGGCCAAGTTACTCAGTGTGAGCAAGAAGCAATACTGATGTCGCTCGGGGCGGAACCTGCCAAACAGGAATCGATAACGTTCCACCATCTGCATGCCGCTTCCCGACACCAGCCACTTGGAATACGACTGCGTTGTATGCCAGATCCATGCCAGTGTGCTGACTGGATATGCCAGTATGCCACATGCAGCCATTGCAACCAGTGACACATGGTCTGCCGACTGCCAGCACAGCACTTGAGGAAAGGCAACAACAGTTGATGTGCCATTCGGGTTTCTTCTACACTCGAACGGCTGGAAGAGCATGAGGGTAATGGCCGTGAACAGCGAGATAATGAGTAAGCCATGCATGCGTATGAGAACATCGAGAGGGAACGGACGCCGTAATAGCTTGGCCAGGAACCACACCATCATCGTCAAGAGCACAAGGGCGGGGAAGGCCAGAAGTTGCAAAACGTAAGTCGTCAGTGGGCTGTTGTCAGGCAGGAAGCATCCTATCCCAAGAATCTGAATGTTCAGGGACACGAGTGCGGTAACTGCTTGGGTCAGCGATCTGACTGGCTCTACCCATGCAATATCAATCTGTTTTATTGCATTCAATGATTGCAGAAAGTACAAAGTCTGCCCACCCATAGCAAGCACAACCAGCAAGGTCATGGATGGGGACGATCTGCAACAGTGAAGCACGAGTGGTACGACCAAGGCAGCCGACAAGACCACGAGTATGGGCCACGCAGCGGTGCCATCACATGCAGAGCAAGCACCATCATTCTCCACCTGAGTACCAGGGGAGGGAAATGAGCCGACGTCTTGGTAGGCATGGGTCGTAGCCTATGTAGCTTTAAAGGAGATTTTGTGCAAGGCAGTTCCCGTTTGGCTTCGCTCGGCTAGCTCTCTGGAAACTAACCAGCTCCTGCAAAGCCACAGGGCGATGACCTGGTATGCAAGCGGCACAAGCTCGGCCGACCCGATTTGCAGCACAAGTCTGTGGTGGACCTCAGCTCACATCATTCCTGCCTTCTGTGATTAGCATATTACAGTTCCAATCCTCTCCGCTCTCGGACCAGCTGAAAGTTGAAACTCCATGAACTCTCAGCCCAGTCCCTAAAGGCCTGCTGGGCAGTGCAGTTTTTCGCCGCACAAGAAGACGGAGAAGTGGCCACTATCCGACAGCTCCTCCAAGAGGTTGCAGCACAGAACGGCTCAGGACGTGCTAGAACGTGACTGCCTGACATGCCAGAGTTCCAAGATCGTACGTTTTAGCCAGGGGGCTACATGTGGCCACAAGACTGAATAAGGCACACGACTATGAGGGCGGACGACCAAAAACATGTGCATGCTGCAGGGCAGCCACAGCATGAGAGTGCTAAGTGAACGCTCTCATACTGCGCTTTGCAAGGGTCTTGGACCGCAAGTTGGAGGGGATGTAGGACTTATGTTACTCCAGGCGACTAGTTACTCTATTGAAGCTTGCGGCTTCACACTTCACACCTGTCCTCTGCCCAATAGCCTTGCTTCTGCTGTGGTGCTGCACGACCCCCAGCACAGTACCTCGCATGTCTGGGAGGCTCAACAGAAGCCGACCTCACATGCGAAGGACTAAAGTTCTGTCGCTTCAAACATGTCCAACGTTGGTCCTGGAAATCATGCGTGTTTAACCGTTTAACCTGTAAAACGAGATGGTCCCCCACAAATAACGAGATCAGCAATTTTGAATTTGAATGCTGTTGGAAAACGAGATTCAAGGCCCGACTCAAGTGCTGTAAAACGAGATAGTACTAGATTTAGTCATTTGGTGCACCCACTAGTTGAACAAAGTGGCAATCAAGGGCTCAACAGGCATATAGGAGCTGCCGCGGGTTTGCAACGCCCTCATCCAAGACTTAAGAACGGCGCATCGGGGAAACGAGTCAATCCTTCATCTGGCTCGTGTAGGGTTCGCAAACTCAAGCCTCATAGGAACGAGATGGTCCCCCCCAACATGCCCCGGAGTATGTAAAACGAGATGGAACTAGGTTGCAGCACGAGTATGGAATTTTTGACTGTTGCTCATGAGACAGGGCTGACTGTGTTTCTTTCATTGTTGATGTTACAGCAGGTTTTGCGAATCGGACCAACATGGTGTTGTAGTGGGCATGTTAAAGTGAAATAGCCTTGCACAGCAAAGACTTTGCAATGCACACGCCATGGCGCAAACAACTTGAGAGTTTATCTGGACCATAATCCTGTCAGGTGCTAGTTACTGCTTCGGGCATAGGAGGTATTCCAAAATAGGGAGGGCAGATGAGTCGACTAGTCGGTAATCGCATGGCTGCCACGCAGATTGACACCAGCCCAGGGCACATCCCATCCGCACAGCGCTGACATAGAGCAGAGCTGTCCAGCCAGTAGGAGCCTTCCTCGCACTCGCAGTCGCTGCTACGCTCAGCTCCAAGAACTTGCGTCGTTTCAAATTCACCACAAGCGCCTCAGGTGTGATTCACAAAACCATTTCCCACACAACTTGGTTGCCGAAGATGGCAACGCGTAGACCAAATAGCATGATGGCCTGCAGCTTGCTTCTCGCCATATGCTAAGTTGCTTTGCAGCTTGAAGGAGACGCCTATTTGCAGCTCTGTTGCGGCACTCCGAGCTTGATTTCTGGTCCTGGAACTTCCCTTGGGCGCACTTCTCGCACAACCTTACATGCGATGGGCAACAGTCGAAAGGCTTTGGAAGCGCATGAACACGTTCTTATGCCTAAACCTATAGAAGCTAAGGGACGTGGAACCCTTCTGCGAAGCAAATGTTCCTGCAAGACACGGATCGCATGTGACGGCTGCATACGAAGCCTGTCTGAAACCAGGTTCACATTGGCGGCATTCGGCAGTGTCCCCTATCTTGTCGCTTACCAGGGCTGAGTACGTTCCGGGTGGACATGGCTGGCAAATTGTCTCAGCCTGTCGCTCCTGAACAAAGGCTTGTGTGGCCTCAGAATACATGCCCTGACCAGCATAGCAGCTGTTTCTGCTTGGTATCCAGCTTTTCCACGTAGCTTCGTTGGTTTGAAGCCACGTGCAGGCGGCCTGCCAAATATCTGAGGGTTCCATGGAAGAAGCATGGTGTCCCAGCATGTCCGAGACATCATCTGCCTGCCAATTCAAATTCTTGAGGAGGCCCAACACTTCCGGAGCCCACTGTTGCAAGTCCAAATGCGCCAGGATCTCTTGATCAATTTCAGCTCGTGCCGACGTGAAAATATTTTGTTCATGTTCCATTTGGTTTGAAACAGGAAATATGATCTTCACGGGCTGCAACGACTGAAAGGTTATATCTGGCCCCCAGGAATAGAAGAGCATGTCATACGTCAGCGGGAGCTTTTCAAATGATCCGCCTGGTCCACAACCACTCCCTCCAGCCAAGGCCATTGGAATGCTGAAAACTGCTGCTTTCTGCATGATCTCTTCAACATACCATATATACCCCCAAGTTACACACGTGATGCAGGGGATGCATTCCTTCGTAGCTTCCAGCAGGCTGATGAAGACAACCAGAAAAGTCTTGCTTGGGTACAGAACTCACATTCTTCTTTACCAAAAAATAAGACTCACGGCTGCCAGGGAGCCGTGGTATTTGAACGGCACGTGGGGGAAAGCCACCAATTCTGCTGGTGGCAACGTGGACGGAAAGAGCCGTCTGCCACATCTAAACCATCCAAATCTCCTCAGGCTGAGGAGGGCAACCTGATTCATTACGCCTTGTTTGTTTTGTGTTGGCATGATTGACTGGCGCAGTCATGATATTGATGCGCAAGCATGAGAGTTATTGAAAATGAGAAAAACTATGGCAACTGCTGAAAGAGGATGGAAAATATGAAAATGCTGAAAATCACGAAGAATTGCGACACATGATGGAAAACGGCAAGTACTAAGCAGAAAGAAGGAAGCAACAAGCAAAAAAACAACAATCGCAGATTGGAGGGATCCATGGGGAAGCTGAGCGCAGTCAACGAGAACCAGGAAGCTAAAACAGAGAGCAATGAGCTTTCGGGAGATCAGGAAGCAAAAAGCTGACAGCGAAAAGTAAGAAGCAAGAGCAATAAGAAAGAGAAAGCAAAAAGCAGCAAGCAAGAAACAAGAAGCAACAGGCAGAAGCAGAACCAAAAAGCCAGAAATGAAAAGCAGAAAGCAAAACTCAGAAAGCAACAAGCAACCAACAGAACGGCAGTAAACCAACAAAACGAAACTAATTCCTGAAAAATAGGCCTCCCTTAAGGTACTATAATGAGAAAGCCCTTTTCTTTCCTGTGTCTACGAACTTTGATAACTTCCTTCAAGAAAGAACAGCAATCCAGAAAAGGGAAATATGTTATCAATGTTGCTGAATCCTACGGTGCTGCGTGCCTAGTGCTTCAGTGGTTTCCGCTCGGCAAACGGGAGGATGAAGTCTAGGTACTTATTTGACGTAGATGTAGGACCCTTTCACATCTTGCAAACTTGGAATAGTCAAAATTACAGCAACGTGACTGATAGAGTACAAGTTGAGGGGAGCCCTTACAAAGGTGGACAGGCACAGGCCAAAAAAGATTTAAGCACGAAGGGCCGCATCACCAAGAGTCCTGTCAGCTTCAAGTACATGTCCAACACGTGCGGGGAATAGATACCCCACTCAGCACAAGGGACAAGGTCGGAAGTGTTCACCTCTGAAATTTTGTTAAAAGCCGCTGATGGATTTTGATTGTAATGATAGCTGCGATAATACTCCAAGGCCAAGCCTTGGGTCTCCCAGGCTTTTGCTATCAGGGATTGGCTGACATGCAAGCCTTCAAAGAGGGAATATCCCACGGAACCCAGCACAGTGATGATGCCACCCATTCGCATGCGGTTCACAGCTGCAAGTTCATCCTCGTTGTAGAGCATGTAGGCTGACAGCATGACATGTATCCGCGACTCCTTCCCTTCGCATACCCAGCCTGATGTTGCGTTTTCCTCGCATCCAGCGATCGCGTAAAATGCGTGCTTGACATTTTTTGGGCGACGGGGATCCGTAAAAACATGGATGCCGACAATCTCCTCCACTAGAATACTGAAGGCCGCACTGACTCCGACATCATGTGAGTTGCCATTGACCCACAGACCCAATGGAAATGTGCCAGTATCACTTTGTAAGCTCCTCCGTTCTGCAGGCGGAATGGCGTAGGGCAAGCATTGCTCCCCTGTAGACACCACCACCAGCCATCCCAGCAAGAATGCCAGCAGCAGTGGACCGGAAACTGTGCTCAGCATTGGCGGCTTGGCTTGGCGTTTACCATCCTCTAGTGACAACACGGAAATAATAGGAAGGTTTCTGTGCAACTTTGACTGCTCCAGTCTGTCACACTTTACATTAGTGCTCCAGGCCGACAATCTGGAAGAGCCTGACGACAAAGCAGCGTTCATGAAACCTAATTGCGTGACGGGGATGTTCAACTTACATGGTCTTCATGCCTACTCATCAGCTGCACCGTACATACTCCAGGATTCAAGCATACAGCACGGATGCATGCAGACGCATGGTCCAACCTCGCTCGGGATTACTTCGTTCGGACAGGCTGCCAGCAATGTTTGCTTGCAGCCATCCGCGACTTGCAAACTTTGTGCAAGACCCTACGCTGGATCTGAAATAAAGGCAAATCTGTCTGCAGGCTTGGAAGGCGGGAATTGTCGCTACACACCCCATGCCCCTCCTACCCAAGCTGCAGCAGCTTGCAGTTGATCATTGACGCATCTTGCACGGTTGCTGTCAAAGATTGACATCTGCATTAAGCCGGCTTCTACAAGAAATCAATTTGCTACTTGTTCCTCGTCTCCTTGATACGTGAGACATCCCGGGCCCCGAAAAAGCTGCCAGCCACGCACCATGCGTATGGTACTATATGCCGTGGGCGAGCCCCTCAGATCTTTTCTGGCATCTTCTACGTGAAACAGATCTCAAATGGATGTCACGTGATCCGACTTTGGGCTTCTGCTCGGACTTCCCGTCCTTACACGCGGCACAATGCCGGAAAGCTGCAATTCGTGACCTGTAGAAGGTAGCACAGGAAATGCTCCGAAGAAACCTAAACGTTCAAGAATGCACGCGCAAGGCGATTCTGTGTCGAATTGCCACCGGGATTCTCGTGAATGGCTGGACTGATGAAACGAACTCCTGCATGTCCTCTGAAAGCCAGGGCGACAAATGCAGCACTGCAATTACAAATGCGTCAGCACAAAGCTACCCGCTACCACACTCCTCAAAGTGTTTCTCACTACAGCTAATAGAAACATCTCAAATTCTACAACCTTGCCTGGCGAAGGCTGGCTTGTCAATGCAGCTGGGAGGGTGGGGAAATGTCCGCTGATGCCGCGCGGCGGGGGCTGCCATAGCGTGGGCACCAAGGCTTGAGTTGTTTCGCCTGTTTATGCGGCAGGCCATGGAGGACGCATTGACTACATGGATAATCAGCTTGCGAAGGACCTTCATGAAAAACATGCGACGATGACCAAGTCGTCCCGCTGCCTGGAAAGCTATGCGGGCCCAAAGGCGAGCGCGTGGGCAATGGGCGAAGTGCAGACGTTGTGCCCAGCGCATGGGGCACCGAGGGAGCTGGCGGCGTCTGTGGTGGAGCCCACCTCAAAATTGCCGGATGTTCATAGGGGATGAAGGGATGGAAAAGAAATTGGAGCTATCCATTTTCTACGAAGAACATCCAGTAAGCCAATAGCTTCCAGATGCTTACCAAATTTACAGGCGATGAAGCTGTCAAGGTGAAGAAATCGAGGTGACCGAGGCCACTGCAATGCGTCCTCCAGCGGCACCGTTGGTGAACGTCCTACGCAGCAACTGTAAATTCAAGGCTCGCAGGGGTGCTGGTCAAAATGTGTTCAAGCGATATTTGCAAAACATGGCATGAATCTGAATCTCGAAGATGTAGTTCTGACAGGATCCGACTCTTTTAGAGGGATACCTCCTGGGCTGGAAGCAGCTGTCTGGATGGCTTGGTTGACCATTTCTTGCGCCGTCCTGGCAGAGATCGTGGGACCAAATCCCTGCCCCAAGCCTCCATGTTCCCCGCCCCACAGCTGAAATTCCTTCATCTGAGCTATAGTCTACACTCCTAGCATCCCTCTTATTAACCCCTATATTAGTCCCCTAAATGTAGTCCCCCATTTATCTCCCCTTTAAGGATAGCTCATCTGGCCTGGGGTTGCTCATGGCGCGGTCCAAGAAGGGCAAGGCTGGCGAGGGAGGCGGGTACGGGCGGCCGCTTGAGCTCGGGCTGCCGGTGAACACCTCGTGGCATGATGTCTGAACATTACAAGTAGTGTCTGAACACTTACTGGGGATTAGAAGGAATATGGGAATATCTTGCATAGGGATTGTATAGGGATTTGATTTGATTCCCTTATGCCCTACAAACCCCGAGTAAAAACATTTCCGGGGCTGCCGCGACTACTGAATGCAAAGCTCAGCGACACAGTCTCTGGTTTAGGACTGGGACCCTTGCCGGGCCCATGGATTTCAACGCCTCCGCAAAGTTCACCTTGGCTTTTCGCATTCAAGTGTTCTGAAAGGCATGCAAGTATGACATGAAAGATTACAGTCCACATCCTGTTGAGCTGGTTCGAGCGGAAGGTGTCAAGAAGTCCCAAGCAGTCATCAATGGCATGTCTGCTGCAACTTCTATGCTGGTCATAGCCCCCAAGCCAAAAACTTGGGGGAGAGGGACTGAAACGAAAGCTAGAGCAAGATCTAACTGGCAGAATGAAGATGCGCACTCTATCCTTTCGTTTACCTCTGGGAATGAGGAAGGCTACAGGACACAAATTCGTGATCGACACCAAATTGTGTTGCACTCAAATAGTGTGCAGTGTAATGCCGGTGTCTGTAGTATTTGCATATTACCTACACCATGTACTGAGGTGCTCTGCAAGAGTCTGTGGCTCTAGTAAATGCAGTATGTACTTATGCTCGAGCACAAAGGGCTTGAACGAAGGCCAGGAAGCTTGAACGAACCTTGTACAGGGTTCATGCAATGGGTCGACATGTGATTTCTTGCCTGTGGGGCACTGGTGATGTGTTCTTTCACACCCTGTTATCCGTTCTTTTGAGCAAAAGCCAGGTGTTATTTATGTGTTCTTTTTGGAAGGATACGGTGTTTTTTGTGTGTTCTTTAAGGGTCCTTTAAGGGTCAGAATACGACCCCGGTCCCACGCCAGAATCCTTCCCTGCCCTGCTGTGTGGCTGAAAGAACCTGAAAAAGTGACCACCCCCTGTAAAACCCACCCCCCACACTACTTGTTGCAAGCTAACGCTTGATAAGAAACTCAAGCTAGACCCGGAGGCTAGCTTTCGTGACATGTTGAACCTCACATGACATTGACTTACTGGGTTGGAGGGTGGATTTACCTCATGCCCAATCACATGTACAAACGACCGGAGTGTGATGTCACGGAGGCACCATACCGACCCGATGCTGCCCGGCATCTCAATCCGCTGAAACTTGAGTTCAAGAGAGGCACCCGCAACTTTGAGAACATCCTGAACTCTACACAACCCCCATGTAGTCAAGGAAAGGCTCCAAAAGAACGCACAAGCAGCTGCTATACCTGAATGGAGTATGGGATTTGGATATACGTTCCCCACCCTATAAATGCACTCACCCATATTCCAAGGGACCTCACACTGCTGCCTGGGATCCGGCTCTGGCTCTGGCAGCGGGGGGAACGGACGCGCTTGAAGCAGCGGCTGTGGCGGGGGCACCCCGCCTGAGCAAGGTTTCTTGTTTCTCGGGGGGAAGAGGGAGATCTCCAGAATCTTCTCAACGGTGGCAACCCCCCAACCCTTCCCCGTGCCAAGCATAAAGTAAGTCCACATGTGCAGGTTTCAACAGCCGTATTGCAGCAAGTCTTAGCGTCTGGGTCTTTCAAGGCCCAGCCTGATGTCTCTTCGGACCAAGGCCTCCATGCGGCTACACCTGGGGCATCCCAAGAGCCAGGCTTTGTGGCAGAAGTAGGTGTAATTAGACAGGACAGGAGAGTGCACCTCTGGCATTTTCTGGAGTATGCGCAAGTCGCTAGAAAGCCCGAAAGCAACGTTCATCCTGCTCCTGTTGGAACGCGACATGCTTCTGTACTTGCCAGGCATCGCTCTGAACAGCACCCCAAACAATCCAAAACAGGCCGGCATGAGAAGGTTGGAGGCGGTGGATAGCCCCCCCCGTTCCCACCGGCTACTTTCAATCGATCACCGTCCCTCTCGGTGCCCCCTAAAAAACTTGATTGTAGTGCTTTACGCGATTGATCTGATGATCTGTGGTTTAGATCGTACCTCTATCGGGAAACCCAAGGGGTATATCGGGAGCATAGGGAGACTACAGGGCTAGTAAGCATGTAGAATGCCGGGATCATGTTGTGAAACTCCCCTCATGGCATCCTAAAACTTAAACCCGATACCTCATGAAACTCCTTAATAATAATAGTACTAGTGGTCGTCGTCGTCGTCGTCGT